GAAGGGGCTGCCAGGCGCTGTTAACCGGGCAACTTCTCCCTTGGCTGGGACCATCTCCCGGCAAGGTGACTGTCTCTCTTCCTCCTCCTCCTCCATCAGCCCTTGGCGGTCTGGTGCTCTCCAGGTGCACTGGGCCACAGCCCCCATCATCCCCTGCCGGCATGGCCAACAATGATGGGAGCTGCTGTGTGCACGCCTGGCCGCAAAAGACCTTGCCCCCTTCCCCTGCTCCTGCGTGTGAGGCAGGATTCGCGGGGCAGCCGCTCGCTCCGTCCCCTGCAAGAACAGCAAAGCGGGCCTTGCGTGCACCGCCCGGCTCTTCCCGCGCGCGCACGATCCTTCGGTGCGCTGTGACGCCGTTCCTTCTGTCCCGCACGCCGGGCTTCCCTCGCCCACATCGCTGGAATCCTGCCGTGAGCGCGGACTGGGACTCGGGGATGCGGGTTCTGGCCCTCCTGGGCCCTGAGGCTGCTGGGTGACTTTGGGCAGGCCTTGTCCTCAGCCTGACCTACCCCGCAGGGCTGTTGTGAGGACAGGGTGGAGGAGGAGCAGGAAGCCTTCTCAGGTTCGTTGGAGGAGGCAGGAGATAATGTGATGCAGTGCCACAAAAATACACCTGAGCGCCTCTTCCTTACGTGCCCTCTCACCCCTCAAGATCTGCGCGAGAGGCACTGCTCCGGGAGCCCTCTTTAAAGGAGGTAAAAAGAACATCTACCCAGAGCAGGGCCTTCTCTGGGTGGCACCCAGATTCTGGAATGCGCTCCCTGGAGAGGTGCGCCTGGTGCTGAGTCTATATTCTTTTCAGGTCAAAACCTTTTTATTTAATTGTTATTTTTAAAAATAATATTTTATCGTTAACAGTTGCTCTCTTTGTTTTTATATAATCTTCTATGGAATTCCTTATTGTTTTATTGTTTTGAATTGTATGTGTTGTGAGCTGTCCTGAGATGCCAAGGCATGTGGTGACAGGCATACAAAAGTTTTAAATAATAAATAAATAAGGTCATGAATATTAAAAAAGATCACAGGCTTCACTTCCGTCAACAGGATGAAGGGAGGGCTGGGCATCATGCAGGGGCTGCTCTCTGAGGGTTCTCGTGGTCCTCCTTGAGCTCAGTTTGCAACCCCAGTGCCAGCATCTTTCCCCCCTAAATGGCAAAAATGTGCATTTTCACCAGGAAAGATGTATGTTTTGGAAACGTGTTTTTTCTTGCTTGAAAAACACATCTTTCTTTTTCCATTCCCCTGGAAATGTAGATTTTTCAGTGCGTGTTGGGCGGGGGGGGGGGGGAATGCTCGTGTGCACCTTTTGTGAGTACACACTTGTCCGAGGGGGCACTTTTGAGCGCCAGCAGAAAGATCAGGCAAGTGCGAGCCTTTCCTCCCGGGAATGGTGTCCGGCTCGCCCTGCATCTCGCCAGGCGCGCATGATGGACGTACGGGGTGGCACCCCGCAGGCCCTTGGATCAAACCGGCGACGCACACGAACGAGGCCGCGGGGGAAGGAAGATCGCACAGATAAGCAAGCGGGCAGGGGAAGAAGGGGCCACGAAACGACAGAGACAGGTGGAGAACTGAGTGGGGCTTTTTTTGTGGGGGGGTAATTTGTTCAGCTATCTCTAGTGCATGGCTCCGGAAGTGAGTATCAGGAGCAGAGAAGGTCTGGCATAAACCGCTACGGCCCTTTCCTGGGAACTCGGTGTATTCTCTACACGGTGTGTCCTTTCTGCCCCGTTGGCCCTTTCTGCCCCAGGGCAAGGGGGTGAAGCACCCCCCCTGCGCCCGTCTTGGCCTTGACACATGAGCTTCCTGCACGCAGGTTCAGCGCTTGGGCCTGGTTTCGGCAACCTGCTGCAAAGGGCAATAAAAGTTATACTCAAATGTAAAGAGAGAGCGAGTGCCTTTTTATCAGGGAAATTACCGAAGTGAAGATGCTGTACGGGGCCAGATGGGACCCGGGGGTGAAACGGCGCATGCGCCAGAGTCCTGTGTGCATAACTGGGATCATAAGTGGTTGCAGGGAGGCGGCCAGGGTGCCACCCGGAGGGGAAGGTGGAACATGTGCCCCAGAGATGCAACTCGGGCGAAATGGCTCCCGGAATGACTCTGCAGTGACCCTTCGTCATACGTTCTGAGTCTCCTCCTCCTCCTCTCTGGCGAGTCAGTGATGACACGCCTGGTCAACTTCTGCCACGTTTCATGATGGGGGGGCAGCACCCCCAAACGATAAAAACGGGGACAGTGAAGTGTGCCATTTCTGGGGTGGAACTGAGGGGGCTCCCAGGGGTGGCAGGATGGGGTTTTTAACCCTTTTGATTTTCTTTTAACTTGCAAACGCTGCCGTCCTTCTATCCTAGAGGACTTTTAGGAAGGCGGGCAGGCAGGCTGGGGAGGTGTCCGGACTGTCCGCCCGCCCCAGAAGCTGCCACCTCACACCACGGGGGGTGCATCTTCTGCCGCTTTGCAGTTTAAAATGCAGTTCCCAATATGAAGCCGGAGCAGCTGCTCCTGCTTTGCCACTTGGGCAAAGGGTTGGGAGGCGAGCCGGGAGAGTCCGTCCCTCGCCCCTTCACGGGCCTCCTCTCACGCGTGGCCCAGTTGCAGAAAGCGAGGAAAGGCCAGAGGGAGTCGTGAGCAGGCGCGGAATTAAAGGGGCACAACCGGCAAGCCCCTTCCGCGTCCGCACGAACCGAGGCTGCCTCACCTGGCGCGGAAGAAAGGTGTGGCTTGCGGAGCACATGGGGCCCCGTTCCCGGCAAGCGTCCGGCACTTGGGCGCCAGGAACTTGGATTTGGGCCTGTGACGAGGCGGAGCAGAGTCCGGGGAGCTGAGCCCAGGGGATCTGACGGACTGCCACCCCCCAGAACAGATTCTTCTGCATCTCTACCTGGAATTGGGTGGCAAATTTTGGACAGATGGATCAGCCCCCCACTACAGTGGCTGGAAGACGATTCTCTATGCCTGGTGGTGCCATGAGCAACCCCATCCCACCTGTGAGTTGGGGAACAGGTGCAGGTGGGTTGGAAGGTGGGCTCGCAGAATGGTTGGGTGGGAAGGGGCCCAGAAGGGCATCGTGTCCCACCCCTGCTGGTGCAGGGTGCCCGTTGCACCCTCCTGATCCATTTTCCTGGTCCCCCCCCCCCCCCCCGTGGCATTGGGGCTGGCCTTCTCAGGCGCTTGTGTCCTGGCAGGCGACCGAGCGGGACCTTCTCCCACACCAGCCTCAGAGCCCTGTCACGGCAGCGGAGGGCCAGCTGGGTTGTGTCCCCGTTCCCCCAAGGCACAGGGACGAGAGAATCGTTCAGATGGGGAAATGTGATCAGGTGGCCTTATCGATCCCTGTGCCACCTCGACGGGCTGGACTGTGGGGGCTGCTGGGAGATGTAGTCCAACACATTGGAAGGCTGCCAGCCTGGACGAGGCTGCCCTGTGGCTCCGACCCGCTGGCCAAGAAGGCCCCAGCCCTTCCTTGACCTCTGGTAGAGCAGCACCTGCGTCTCAGTCCTGGCATGAACCCCAAAGCCTCAGCGCATCCTGCACTGAAGCCCAAGACGCTTAATTTTCCACTCTTGGGGGGGGGGGCTGTGCAGCACTGGCGCCCTCCTGAAACAGGCCAGCTGGGAGCCACCAGGAGCTGGGGGGACACTGAGCCGCCGGGAAGCAAACCCTGCCATTCCCGAGGCTCTGCCGGTGCTTCAGCCGCGTCGATCTCAGCGCGTTCATTTGCAGTCCGGGGCTGGCCAGCCGGAGACGACGGGCGGGGAGGCTCCGATGGAGCGGCCGGATCTGGGCCATCCCTTAGCACCCCTCCCCCTGGTCTTCCCCAACAACAGCACTGGGACGGAGACCCCCTTTTTCCAGATGAAGGCAGGCGCTCGTTTTTTGGATGGGAGGGCAGGTCCGGGAGCCCCGACTGCTGGATGCTTCTGTGCCCTTTCCTCGCTGTGGTCCAAGTGTGTTCTGCAAGGTTGCTGCGAAATATTTGCTGCACAGGACCTCAGCTGGATGGCGCCCCGATGTCCATGCCTCTGTCTGCAGCAGCCCTGCAAGACCTTCCCCCCTTCGGGGCACCCAAGGATGAATACAGGAATGGCTCGACAAGCAACTGCTCATAGACTCGCTCCTTAAATCATCAGCAATCACCGTGAAGATTAAGTGGACGGGCTTGGCCCCCGTCTTCCTGGCTGAAGAGGAAATTAGCTGCCGGGGAAGCAACCAGGAGAACACAGGTGCCCTGGAGTGGCTGGCTGACCTGCTCAAACCACCCACAGGGACGTCGTGTGCGGGCGCCATTTCAGACACACGTCACCGCCCAGTTTGTGTTCGCTGATCTTGGTGGTGGCGGGTCACTTGTCCTTTTAATCTGCGCTTGAGATTCTGTCCAAATTTCGACGCCGCACTGGCTGGAGAAACCTTCTGGGCGTGAACAAACTTGCGGGTGTGGGCACAATTCTGGACATGGGCAGCCAAGGCAGGGGGGACCAGAGGGCAGGAGCTGGGTGTGGGAGAGGCCCTGCTGGAGTCGTGCCGCCTGGGGATGCCACGCTCCCCATGTCAAGCCGGGGGTCCCTCCAAGCGTTCCGGGCACCCACCTTTTCCTTGCCCCACCTGAGAAGCTGGGGTTGAACCCGGGACCTTCTGCTGGCGAGCCGAGGCACAGGTGCCCCCCCCCGCCTTGCAAGAGCTGTCAAAGCTGGAGGAGGCCCCCTCCCCTCGGCTGCATGTGGCACCCCGGCTGCCACAAGCGGGCTGACATTATCTGCATCAGAGCGGAAATCTTTTTGTGCTATATTAAAAGACAGGACATGATGGGAACGTTCCAGTGGAAGCACTCTCCTTTTCAGTCAATAACGCAAGATCGCACCCTTCCTGAAAGCACAACGTTTCTGACACTGGTGTGAAGTCGCAATATTGCCACTCTGCGTTTGCGGACAAGTCTCTTGCTCTTTCCCTCAACTCCTCCCCCCCTCTCCCAAATTCCCCCCAGCGGCGATGCTTACCGGAGCTTCCCCTCCTGCGGCAGCTCGTGAGGCGGGTCGTTGCACGTGAGCCGAGCATCCCCATCCAGGAGGTACACGTACACCCTTTCCTGTGGGGCAGAGAGGGCCAGTTAGATCTCCTCAAAAGATATTAGAGGGGCATGAAAAATCGGTTGCGGTTTGGTTCGGCCAGGACTTGCGATCGGCGCGTTCCAGAAGGCGCAAACTAGGCCAGCCTGGAACCGAAATGAGCTTCTCAGGTATTTATTTATTTATTTATTTATTTATTAAAACATTTCTGTGCCGCCCCATTCGCCGAAGCCTCGGGGCGGCTCACAACATAAAGTCTACATCTTGTTTTTGAGTCTCTTTAGCACAGTCTCAAGAAGAAAATGTTTGGGTTGCTGAAATCAATCCAACCAATGCAAAAATGCACACAAAAGGAATCCTTTGTTGAACTGGTGTTGCACGAACCTGTTGCTTGCCTAGGCTAACGAGAAAGGTGCTTTCTGCTGGACAATGAGAACAGTTTTACACAAGTTCTTATTACAGAGATGATACTCTCCCACATAGATACAAAATGCACCAACCCACTGTTAACACAAACAAACATTTAGATGAACATACGAGTGCTTATGTTCATGGAAAGAAGTTTTGAGAACTTGCCATTTTAGCTGCCCGCATCCTGGGGCTGGCAAAGGGGCTCAGTCCCCAACAAACATTAGGCTACTAACAGAGATGAACTCACTGCCATCCCTCCAGTGGATGCCAGACATGCTTCCTGCACCCGCGTGTGCAAGGGGGGAATTTCAGTGGTCGTAGTTTGCCGTGTGATTCTCCCATCTACACAGCTTTTTAAGGTCCAGGATTCGTGCCTTTGTTTTCCTTTTGCTGCTGTAGTGATCTATCTCCCTCTCTCTCTCTCTCTCTCTCTCTCTCTCTCTCTCTCTCTCTCTCTCTCACACACACACACACACACACACACACACACACACACTGCAGGCCCTGTCTTAGGCTTGGACCTGTTGATTACATTATGTGGGCAGCAACCTTTTCCAGGTGTATCATTACCTTGGCAAAACGTGCTTCTTCGAATCCTTGGGAGACGGACACGCTGTGGCAGAGGGAATCCGGAGCGCAGAACCGCGCGTAGCAGCCGGGCCGGGAGGGCCAGCCCCTGGGCCAGTGCGCCCCCCAGACGGAGCAGCGGAGTCGAAGCCGGCCTCCTCCGCGCCCGTGGCTCCTGGGGCCGCCAGTCGGGGCGGAACAAGGACACCTTTCCCTGGGGGGACACGCTGCGGAGCCCAGTGACGGAGCGCACGCGCACCGGCACACCGGCCCCGTTTCGGCATCGTGCTCCTCAGATGGTATTTGGCCTTCGGCCCGAGGCTGTCAGTCCCCCAAGTGGCTACGGGCCGCTGGCCACCCCAGCCCAGAGTCATCGCTGAGAGGGTCTAGTTCTGCATATTCATGAACTGCGCCCTCCCCCCGAATCTGGCACTCGCGGAATGTGCTGGACTACAACTACCATCTCTCCAGTCAGCAGGTCCGAAGCGGTGGAAACTGGGGGTGGTAGGAGTGGTAGTCCAGCACACCTGCAGGGTGGAGGCAGGGAAAGCTGGCACCTGCTCTCCCCTGCTTGCCAACCCCAGGACGGCGGGAAGCAGGGCATGATGGGAGTTGTAGTCCTCGCACATGGAGGGGTTGGGCTTAGCACGGAGGGGTGAGAGGCTGAGCAGCAGAGAAACTGCCAGTCTGGTGGGAGGTCTGAGCAGGAGGGGTGCAGGCATGTTGTAAACTCTTTCCCTCCTGCCCTTTGAGTGTGATCAGGCCCCGTTGCACCCCAGGAGCGGCTCACTGGTGCAGCTGCAAGCACATTCGCAGTTTGAAGGCTGGCTACCCCCTCACACGCCTTCCAAAGAAGAAATCCCTCCAAAAAGCACAGTTTCAGTCTTTGGTCTATGGGAGGAGGGAGAGAGAGAGAGATCGTCTTTTCTTTTCCTGCAAACTGCATTGGTATAAAATTGTGGAAAGGTTAAACACGCACACAGAGAGTGGACTGAAGGTCAGCAGAATCCTTGCAACTGAGTTCAAGCTGGCCTGCCCTGGAAGCCATGGGCTGAAATCATAGGAATCCGAATTCATTTCCATCTGCCGCAAATTTCCCTGGGCAGGCAGGGAAATTTTGACTAACGTGGTCTGAAAGGGAAGGGGCAGGGCAGGGGAGAGGCAAACCGATCCATAACAAGTGCAGAACAGCAAACAAGCGAAGCAGTTCTTCTGATCACCCAGAAAGGCCCTTTCAGGTTCACATGGAAAACCGGCTCCAACCTTCCTGAGGAACAGAGAGAAGGACTGTTTGCAAAACTCCACGGGGAAATCCAAGATGTTAAAGGAGCGGAGCCCGGGCACCACTGCATGCACCTCCAATGCGCAACAATGCACAAAGGATTGTCCGTGTAAGCCAGACAGTGAAACAGCTGGCCCCCTCCCGCCCGGATGCGTTCCTCGCATAATCACGGATTATTCTACTGCTAATCCTCAACCAGATTTTCCTGGGCTTTTCCCTGCCTCTGTGCCAAATCCAGCTCTTACAAGCAGAGTATGTATTTATTTATCTAAAACATTTTTATGCCGCCCCCATCGCAACGAAGCCTCAGGGCGGCTCACAGCAGGATACAAAGTACATAAATACATAAATAATAATGATATAACAATTTAAAAAATTGTTTAAAAGCCCCCGGTGCATCTTGGCTAAAAATTTAAAATCTTATTAGTTCAAATAATTTAACAATTAAAATAAGTTTTAAATAAAAAGGTCTTAGCCTGGCGCCGAAAAACAAAGCGTAGCCCTACAGCTTCTGCTGCTGCCATGCACATGACTCAATAAACTGCAAGGCCTCTGTGCATGTGCAGAGTTGATCCCCCCTCTCTCAGCCAGCCCACACCTGTGAACATGAAGATGGTGGTCTTTTAAGCACACCTGGCCTGCACGCACCAGGAACCAATGCTGGAGAGGGCCGGCCTCTGGCCGGCTTGGGATCTGGCCCGGAAATTCGGCACTGCAGAGGCACCGACAACGGTCTTGCCCTTTCTGCTCGGAGCCCGGCCAGGAGCGCTGGCTGCCATCCCGAGACGGACACCGTACAAGCACTGCTTCCAGCTCCAATTAGCCGCAGTTCAGACATTCACCCGCACCTGTTCAGTGGGCCAGCGATGCTGGCGGAGCCAAGCGGGTCATCAGCTCCCGTGCGCGGCCAGGCCGGAAGCAGCCAGCTCCGGACAAGCAGCAGCACCCAGCTGCCTCCCGCCAGCCACCCAGGGAGAACGCCGAGCTTCCGGCATGCCTTCCCCCAGCCGACATTTTAACCTCCCCAAATGGCTTTAATGTTATCTGGCAGCTAATTAACTCCCAGTGTCTCCATCACTAACGAGCTTCACAATTAAATCTCCTCCACGCTGGCTTAGCTGGAGGACGGCAGCAGCTGCTTCCTTAGGTGACTGCCTGCAGACCTTCATCACCACCACCACCACCATCTTGTCATAATCATGTTTTCTGTTTCCTTCTGAGAAGAAAATTCTCGGGGAAGCAGCTCTGGGTGTTGTCAGCAGGTGTCAGCAGGTGCCGGGGAGGAACAAACCCGAACCCGAACTGTTCCACCTCTCTCACATTTCACCCGAAAGATGTGGTTGCCATCAAAGGCACATTTCATCCTTCCACAACATTTTGGTCACGGGTTCGATGCGGATGACGGTTGTGCTAATCAGGCCAAAATCGGGCTCTCCTGTGCTCGCTCCCCGACTTCTTTCCCACCCTCGGCCCTTGCCAGGGGCAAGTCAAGCCAAGATCCAGCCTGTGAATTCTCCGAACGCCTGTGACTTAAGCGCACGACATATGCAATTCTTTGTACCAAGTGCACAAAGAATGCAGAACTCACAAGCCCCGTGTGCAGAAGCCTGGACTCCGTCCCTGCCGGACGCCCACGCAGGCGCTCAGCGTCAGAGGAACTCGGGACAGAGGAATGAGCCAGAGCCACGGAGCCGAGCCGAGCCGACCAGTTCCCACCCCCAAACCGGATTCTGCACACACCACGAATCCCGAAAAAAACAGCAGCCGGTGCATCTGCTAAAGCTGATCAAAGGTGCTTCAAGCCACGGGGTGTCTGAGCCCTGACAACCGTGCCGCATCCACAAGTATCTGAGCCGGCAGCCCGCTCCTTCCGGCGGTGTCACGCGGCACCGGGGCCAGAGGAGGCTCATGCAGGCCCCCTCTCGGCATCCCGCGTCCCGCACTGCCTCCGGAGGGGCTGCTCCACGTAGGAGCAGAGCCGCAAGCCGCGCGGCGCTTCCCCCACTGGCCTGGAAGGGTCCCCTGGCTGACCGTCCCCACAGCCACCGAGAGGCCGGCGAGAACTGGCACGTTAAAGCCGCCCCATCCCAGTGCAGGCCACGGGGACCAGCCCCACAGCGAGCAGATCCCAACTCGCTCCTGCAGAGGGGGAGAAGGGGCAAGGCGCCTCCTCACCCCTCACCGTGGGGCTTGCAGGGGAAAACTGCACAGGAGCCTGAGGGAGGGAGGGAGGGAGAGAGATCAGACTCATGTTTCTGAGGAAGGTTCTAGACTCTCATCCATCACCAGCTCTGTGAAAAAAAGTGGCTGCAATTAGCCACACGGATGCTGCGAGAGGTGTCCCTCAGTTCACCCAAAGTGAGGTTTTGAGGCACGTTTGGAGATTGCAGCTAGGTCTGCCACCCCAGCGATATTTGTGCCCCTCCAGAGGTGTTGGCTGCAACTCCCATAATCCCGAGCACATCTGGACAGGGCTAGGGTGGGCAGTTTATGTATTTAGGCCTTCATATCCCATTCATTAGCACAGAACTCTCAGGACGGTGATGCAATAAAACCTAATCAAGCAGCATAGAATAGCCACCGTCAATTTAAAACAGCGATATCAGCGGCCTGTTTAAAAGCAAATACATCCATCAGAAAACATCAATACGGCCAAGCAAACGGTTGCAGCGGGTTCATAATGCCACCTGATGCCTTTGCTGTGCCCCAGATTTCCCTAGCACCGCCCACGTGGGACCAATCACCTCCGGAAGCAGAGGG